CCTGGGGAGTACTGGGAATAACCAATACTATTGGAAACCACAGCTGCTGGTCAACTCATAGACTATCCTATAGGGTGGGTCTGGATGGTGCTACAGCATCCACGAAGGCTGAAGCATCAAATTAGAGCACACTAGAGCCTGCACTGCAGCTCTGTGTGAAGTGGTTGTTGGCCTTCCTTCCTTCTTTCCTTCCTTCCTTCCTTCCGTCTCTCCTTCCGTCTCTCCTCTCCTTCTTTCCTCTTCCTTTTTCTTTCTCTCCTTTTCTTCTCTCTCCTTTTATTTTTCTTTCTTCTTTCCTTCTTCCCTCCCTGCCTTCCTTCTCTTTTCTTGTTTGCGTCTTTCTTTCTTTCTTTCTTTCTTTCTTTCTTTCTTTCTTTCTTTCTTTCTTTCTTTTTCTTTTTTTCTACTATGAGCACATGTGTGCTTGTGCACATGGCCGAGATCAGCATTGGGTGTCATTCCTTAGGCACTGTCCACCTTCGTTTCTGAGACAGGGCCTCTCGCTGGTACCTTGAGCACACTGATTAGGCTACTTAGCGGCCCAGTGTCTCCAGGGCCCCTTCCATTTGTCTCTGCCTCCTAGGGCTGGGACTCTGGGCACTTCCCACCATGCCCAGCCTGTTGTTGTGGGTTGCCCTCCCCACTTCGGTTTATGCTGTTTCTGTGTACATATGCAGGCGGGTCCGAGGGTAGCAGGTCTTGCACTGAACCTGGAGGTCATTAACTGGCTATACTGACTGAGTAGTTAGTTCTGGGGATCTATCTGTACCCCGCCCAAGCCCACATGGTACACATGACCTTGTTTGTTACACAGGTCCTGGGGACTGGCACTCAGGCTTCACTCTTGCATGGCAGGCATTTTACTGTCTGAGTCATCTCGTCAGCCTTGGTCTTCAGTTTGCTTGCTCGCTTGCTTTTTCACTTTTTAAATTTTTTTCAGGGTTTTGGCAATATTTAACAGAAGATGCAGAGATTTTTTTTTTCTCATCCACTATGCCCATGAATGCATGGCCTCCCCAACCATCCACCTTTACCTCAGAGCAGTCTATTCTGCCATCTTTCAATCTGCAGCAGCATCTCATTATCACTTAAAATTCAAAGCCAGAGTCGGGCTCAGTCTTGGTAGGATGCATTCCACGGGTGTGGACAAGTGTGTTTCGATGCGTGTCTGTAATGGCAGTGTCTTCCGGAGTGGTTTCACAGCCCTGCAAGCTGCAGCACTCTGCCCATTCATTCTTCTCTGGCTCCATCCACCCTCTGGCAGCCATCAGCCCCCTTTTGCCATTCCTGAATGATGTGAAGTTGTGGGGTTTTGTTCTACTTGCTTTTGTCTTGCAGGCTGCCCACATGTTGAGCACTGCTCTGTATACCCCAACCCTGTTTTTACTTTTTGTTATGTACCTTCGAACTGGCCTTGAACCTACAACCTTCCTGCTGCCACTTAAAGCTAGTATCACAGTATTCTTCCACCAGGCTTGAATCTCAAAACAACAAAATCTCTTGTTGTGTGATTGAGACAAGGTCTCACAATAAAGCCCACATTACCCTCAAATTCATGATCCCCCTGCCGCAGCTTCTTGAGCAGCTGAGATTGCAGACCTGCATGATAGCAGCCTCTTACAATTGCCTTTTTAGACTATTCTGTGAAGCCCCTCTTTGAGAAAAAGAGGTTCTAGGCTCCTCAATGCCCTTTCAGCCAGAAATTTTTTTCTCACTTATTAAAGGATCTGGAATCCTGGTAAAATGTCACTTGAAAGCCACTGATCTGCTACAACCCTCCTATTTAACAGATGACATCCCTGGGAAATGGAGAAGGGAAGGGGCTTTCCCAGAGTAACACACCCTGCCGGAGCAGAGCAGGCTTGGATCTCAAGGTTCATGACTCTTGCACTGATCATGTGCCAATGCACTGTTGTAAACTCAGCTGCCCCTATGGCTGGACTACCCCGCTTCCTCGGCCACACTTCCACCATGGAAAAGCCCTGTGGCTTGCTGCCAGGGACCAAAGCCAAATCTATTTCTGGTTTTTCTAATCACTGTGTCTTACCATGTACTAGGTGGCTTCTCTGAGCCCAGAGGAGTTAGGGAGCTGGGTCAGAAATACCAAGATGGTTGAGGGTTCTGGGACACAGAGAGTAAGCCTGGCAACAGGCCAGGGAGAATTGTAAGGTGATTGCATCTCAGATTCCCTAATCACCTTTCTCTAATGAGCTGGGGGTGGGACTCCAGCACCGCACAGCTGCAGACCCTGTGTTCCCTGTGCCATCCTCCGGGGCTCAGGACAGTTGTGGTCCTCAGGCTAGCCCCCTCCCAGCTTCAATCATGCTCCTATTGCCTCTGCACAAGCGACCCTCTAGCCTGAGCCATCGTTCTACAGCAGGCTAAGCCAGGAGGACCTCAGACAGCCTTCCAGGCAAGAGGCGTAAACCAAGAGCTGAAGGAGCCGAAGCGTGAAGAATAGCAGCTGACAGAGGACCGTCAGCAACTGGGTTTAGCGGCAATAGCAGATTCTATGTTCCATATCAGGACACTGTGATGGTCACACGCGCATACGTGTGTGCGCACACTCGAGTATACTCATTAGCCTCGGAAACAGAACCACTAATATCATGGACCTGACTTAAGCCCCAGTTTTGAAGCCATACTTCAACCTACCATTCATAGTGGCAACCTAGAGCCAAAAAAATAGCGGTATTTTCAGATGCTCCTGATGTGAAACTTCTCATACACAGGTCTTTCAATCTTCCTGCTACCAAAGGAAATTCCCAACTCCAAAGTCCCTCACTACTTTTTTTGGCGTGTGTGTGTGTGTGTGTGTGTGTGTGTGTGTGTGTGTGTCTGTATGTGCACATGAGTGGGCACAAGCACACACTGGGAGGGAACCCACATTCGAGGCAAGATCACCACCACTGAGGTCCACCCCAGCTCAGCCTCTCAATATTGCTTACGTGCCTCAGTTCCTCTTCTGTCTCCTGTGATCTCTCACCTGAAGCTCCTGAAGGAAGTGAAAGTCTTGACTGAGACTAGCAGTTTCTGTCAGCCTCCCCTTGGTGTCACGCTACTGAGCTGTCTACTCTGAAAGGCAAGGCCTGAAAGCCACTTCCTCCTTTGCCTATGGCACTTCTCTCCTCCTGCCCAGTCCTAAGTCCTCATCTTGGACAGAGACCTCACCCCCACCCGATACCCATCTTAGACAGCTTACAGAGTGACAAAGACACAGGATCATTTTGAAAACTTGTACTGGATGTACTGGATGTCTCAGGTGCTGATGGTGCGTGCTGCTTCTCCTGAAGACCAGAGCTAGCTCCCAGCATCCACACCAGGCTGCTCACAACTGTGTGTACCTCCAGCTGCAGGGGTCACAACACCTTCTCTGACATCTGTGGGCCCTTCACTCACATGCACAGACACAGCGCATGCACAGGAAATACCATTACCTCCACACACTGAAGCACACCACACTCAGGCAGCACCTTCCTTCAACTTTTATGGTGTCATCTTGTGGACATTTGGGAAACCTTTAAATCTTGAGTTCATTGAGCGCTTCAGCTCACAGCATGCTCATTAGTCCCCCCCCCAAACCCTCCACTGTGCTGTGTAGGGGGGATAGAAATATGTCCCCAGAGGACTGGTGGTGGAAAGCGCCAGGGATGTCTCCTAGGACGGTGTGGAAGCCTTGGAAGGGCAGTTTGCAGAAGGCATAAGAACACTGCCCATCCACCAAGAAGGCAGCCTCCCATGTGCCCAGACTTTTACTCAGAAGAGGAAATTGCCTTGTTACCCACATCTTTCCTTCCCAAGTGACAGCACCTTCCGTGGTGGCAGAAGAAGATGTGGCCTGCCACCCATTACTCGGATCTGGTTCTTCATCTGAGAGACAGGAACATAATTAGCAAAGATATGAGTGAAACCTGAGGCGGCACATGGAAAGCTTGCAATCCAACTCCAGGAGCTCTGGGTATCTGGGAGTTCCTATGTGTGGGAAGAGCCTGGCGTGTGCTTCAGGCTTGAGGAGGGGCACTGTATTAGTTACTTGTCTCATTGCTGTGACAAGATTCTTGACAAAGGCAACTTAAGGAAGCATTGATTTTGGCTCACAGTTTGAAAGTACAGTCCATTGCATAAGGAAGTCATGGTGGCAAGGGTGTGAGGTGAAGGAGTGTAAGGTGAAGGAGTGTGAGGGGGCAGGAATGTGAGGCAGCCGCTCACACCACATCTGCACCGGGGAAGCACAGAGAGATGAAGGCTGATGCTCAGCTCACATTCTTCTTTTGAAGTCCCAGCCATGGAGCGGTGCTCTCACATTTAGGACAGGCCTTCCCACCTCAATCAATACAATCTAGAAACTCCCTCATAGGCATGGCTAGAGGGTGAAGAAGCTGAGAGGATAGGTCTTTGCTCAGTCCCAGATGGCTTGGGCCATCTGCCATGGGCTGGGGCAGCTACAGAGGACCCTTCTTCACACTAGGGTGAGCAAGGTCATCTCTGCCTCCCATCCCTTTCGGAATTTCTGGCAGCGAAACGGCCAATCTGAGAGACTTTTGAAGCAATGCCTAAGCAAGCAGAAACACAGGAAGCATGGCCCCAGAGGCATTGGGAAATTCCAACACCTGAGGAGGTCTGGGCATGAGTGAAGCAGGGTCACTGAGGTGAGAAGATCCAGCCTGGAGTGAAGACTCCATTCTCTGATGTCTCTCCAACATGATGAGCTTCCTTTGACTGGAGACATCTGTGTAAATGTCATGAGGCACTGAGGCACCCTTGGCCTTTCAAGGTTCCACAGGAGCATTCCTCCCTGTGTCTCCAGAAAATGAATACTTAGAGAGGATATGTCGCTTGCCTAAGGCCTCACAGATGGGTCTCAAACTCCTCTCTGGTGTCTGGAGCCCTTTGCTCATATCTTCTGGCTCCACACATCCCAGCTCTCAATAGTAGTTAGTGCTCATTTTCTGCCTTTTCCTACCATGCAATGAGACATCTGAGTGTGTCTCTTCTCCCAGGCCGTAGTCTGTGTGCCACCATGGAACTCGGGTCTCTGGAGGGCAGCTACCTGGAGCTCCTTAACAGCGATGCGGACCCCCTACACCTCTACCACCTCTATGACCAGATGGACCTGGCGGGGGAGGAGGAGATCGAGCTCTGCTCAGGTGGGCCTTGTTCCTTGTTCCTGGGCCTCTCCTGGCCTTCTCAGTCCTTCTGACTCCCGACTGTGAGCAAGTCCAAGAAAGCCACAGGTTGATTGTCAGAACCACGGACAGCTCCCAGCCCATGCTAATCTCGCTGACCCTCAACTGGAGCTGTCTCCCTCCATCCCCACAACCCCTCCTCCCACACTCCCAGGCTTTATCCTAGGGGCTTTCTGCTTGCAGAGCCTGACACAGACACCATCAACTGCGACCAGTTCAGCAAGCTTTTGCAAGATATGGAAGGGGATGAAGAGACCCGGGAGGCCTATGCCAACATTGGTAAGGGGGCAGCGGAGGTCAGAGAACGGACAGCGGGGAAGAAGTCTCTTTCACTAGTCTTACTAGGTCACTTGGAACAACAAAAAAATTCCTCCCACCAAAATCGCAGCTCGGGACAGCAGCTAGGGACAGCAGCTAGGGCTGGAAAAGATGGTATTTTAGGAGGAAGAAGGAGGGGGCACTGCGGGACACCCGCCCCTTCCCTGATGACTAGCCAATCACGTCCCACTATGGTACTTCCCTTCCTTTCTTTCTGCTTTTTGCTTGTTAGGTTTGTTTTATTTTCTTTTTGAGACAGGGTCTTTTGTAGCCCAGGCTGGCCTGGAACTCACTGTGTATCCCAGGCCAGTCTTAAAGTCATGGCAATCCTCCGGCCTCGGCCTTCCAAGCACAGGATCACAGGCACACAGCACGTCCAGCTCCGTGCTTCCATTTCCATATTCCTTTCTGCTCCTCTTTCCCACAGAGCTCACAGCACACAGCCTTCTCCAACACTAAGGCAGTGAGCTGTCAGCGCAGCAGCTGATTCTGGCCATGTGTTCACTGCTGCACTGCTCCACTAAAGCTGGGGGAGTATAAAGACAGACTTTGAACTCAATCCCAATGACAGCATTACTGTTCTGCTTTGCAATGCTTTATGATGATAGACATGTTTTTACAAGCACAGGCTTTCCTCATTTAATAAGACAAAAAGCATATGAAAGGCAATGTGCGTTCATTCATTCATTCAACCTATACTCAACCTTTATAGAGACCCGACTGTGCAACAGGCCCAGAAAGTTGCAGCTTCTAGGTAACTAGCCTGAGGCTTAGACACACAGTAGGACTTCTGGGAGCCCTTTTTTGTTTGTTTTTTGTTTGTTTGTTGTTTTGTTTTGTTTTCAAGACAGGGTCTCTCTGTAACTTTGGCTGCCCTGGAACTCACACTGCAGACCAGGCTGGCCTTGAACTCAGAGATCCACCTGCCTCTGCCTCCTGAGTTCTGGGATTACACCACTGCCCGCAGGGGAAACCCTTTTGACTGACTGTATGTCTCCTCACCTGGCAGCGGAACTGGATCAATATGTGTTCCAGGACAGCCAGCTGGAGGGCCTCGGCAAGGACTTCTTCAGTAAGTCGGGGGCGGGGGTGGGGGGGAGCTGATCTTGGCTCAGCCTCCATTCCTTCCTGACCTAGAGAAATGCCTGACAGCCACACCTCCTCGCCGCAATGGCAGAAGTGGCTTTGTGATTGTAATGTGTGTCTCTGCTGTCTCTCCAAAGTAGAGTATATTGGAGCAGAGGAAGGCTGTGGGAGGAGTACCGAGGTCCCTGGAGAAGCAGGAAGGAGACCTCAGAAGAGATGTGAGTGAGCCCCTCCTTGACCTCTGGTCCTTCCTTATCTCTGTCTCCATCCTGCTGCACATGCGGCTGCTGGGGTCCCAGCTGCTTCCATTAAGTCCCGCCTGCCTCCCCACCACATCCTCATGCCACTATTCCTCAGCAAGGAAACAGCGCTGGAGCAAATGTCCCTCACCCTGTAGGGTCTGTGTGAGACTCTTTGATTCCTGCTCCTCAGTGACCAGGCCCTGCTTCCCTCTGGGTCTCTGAGGGAAATCTCTTAACCAGTGAGCCAGGCATCATTCAGGACTGGGCTGGAACCCTGGCTCTGCTGTTTATGGGCTGTGTCACCTTGGCTGGGTACCTGCAACTCTCTTGGCCTCCTGCTCTTCTCCTGCCTCCTTAGTCTAGCCTCATCTGACGGCCAGTGTGCTTTTTCCATGCAGATTAAGATATCCCTGCCTTGCTGACCCTCCAGCATCATAGGATGCATGCTGAGAGGCCTGTGTGGCCTGTCTTTCCTCCTCTGCTGGTTCAGCACAGAGACACACTACTTTGGCAGCCGGCCCCAGTATGACCTCTTCCTGGAGTACCTTCCTCTCACTCTTCCCATAGTTGGGTCCTCAAAGCCTCACACCATCCAGGAAGCCCTCCTTGACCACACAGCCACATAAAGTCACTGTCTTAGTTATGCTTATTCCTCTTTTTAATGTATTTATTTATGTGTCTGCGTGTTTCGCCTGCATGCATGTCTGTGTACCACATGTGTGTTTGGTTCCTGCAGAAGCCAGAGGAGAGCATCCAATCCCCAGAGACTAGAGTTACAGACTGTTGTGAACCATCATGTGGGTTCTAGAAATAGAACTCAGGTCTTGTGGAAGAGCAGACAGTGCTCTTAACCATTGAGCCACGTCTCCAGTCCTATATTTCTTGTGAGGTGTGTGTGTGTGTGTGTGTGTGTGTGTGTGTGTGTGTGTGTGTGTG